TATCAGTGGGCATCAGAAATTTTCGAGCTAGAACATTTCTTACAATTAGCTATTTTACCTTTATTGCAAATTTCGCTATTTTCGGACATATTTTGGTTTCTCTCAAGAAAATTTAATCCGTCTGAATGCTATGTGTATGAAAACTTTTTAAAAGTGCTGAAACTTGAAATTTGTATTTTCGAGGCTTAATCAAACACAGTGAGGCACAACGCTGCTTTTTTGCCAACGTTGCGAAGTCTTATGATATTCGTCTTCTTTTTTTCTCTTTTTTTGTTATTTTCTTCATAATATTCCCAAAAAACAGTCGCATGGTGGCAGGTCTTAACCCTTAAATGACTAACCGTTTTTACCTACACGAAAGACTAACCCGGGCCTGCGAGGCCCGTATTCAGAATATATGGTAATTTGATGGCTACAATTCTTTTTTTCTTTATTTTTGGGTGAATTTTATGATTTTCATACTTTGACTTCTATACCCAAGGTCCCAAATTTTTTGTTTCACCCATTGGCTGCCCTCCCAGCCCCCCTAAACATCCCTTTCCTCTCCCCAGTCCCTTCAGATCTATGAGTCTTTCATTGTAAACACATTTTTATATCTTTTTTCAGGATTTGAGGAAGTTAAATTGAAGGAGCATTATAACCCCTGTAAGTATACTTGAATTTGAGAAGGAGGGGGCAACCTTGCCCACCCTACCCCCTCCCCCTCCTTACGGTAGCCAAAAAAAGTAGTACTTTCCGATGTGTTTCTTTCAAAGTTTTGCACTCAGAAGATTTATTTTTTCATTTTGTGAAAAGAAAAGAACAGTCTAAAATGTATTATTGTACTATTACTACTAATAAGTCGCTCTCATGGCGCTTCTGTGCGCTCTGCGACACCCAACCGCCACTGACAGCGATCTTGCCAGAGCACCTCCGGTAGAGCGCATCTCCTTATTTCAAGCCTTATTCCCTCGATCCATGATTTGACAGGGCGTCCTCTACGTTGGCGTTCATAGGCGTTATGCATTGTTGTTACTTATGGAATACTTCTACATTATTTCAAACTTTTCGACGAGTGAGAGCGAATTTACTCCTAGTGAATTATGAGATAAACGCGGGACAAAATTTCTTGTGATGTTTCTAATGGTTTTCCTGAGGTTTTGCTTTAATAGTTGTAGCTGAGAAGTCGTCATGGAGGAAATATACTGCCTACGAACTGTAAAAGCACCATGCGTTAATTTCTTACGACTAAAAGATAACGCCTTTACATTTTCACCATATCACAAGAAACACCTGAGTTAAACTCGTAAAAACTCTTAAATCGTTAAAATGTAAAAGTAGGTAATGAATAATGATTCCAGTAGTAAAATGACGGACAATATACATAAGTAGGAAAGACTTTAGGAAAAACAAAACATAAAAAAATTACCGAAGGTCAAGAAAATCAAACTTATTATTTACTTATTATTATTTTGATTTTAGATGATTCTTGTAATACGTTGAATATGTTAAGGCCTTACCTTTTAGTTCTAAGAATATAACGCATGGTGCTTTTACAGTTCTTAGACAGTGTATTACCTCCATGACCACTCCTTAGCTACAACTATTACAGCAAAGGTGCTCTGGCAAGATCGCTGTCAGTGGCGGTTGTGTGTCGCAGAGCGCACAGAAGCGCCATGAGAGCGACTTATTAGTAGTAATAGTACAATAATACATTTTAGACTGTTCTTTTCTTTTCACAAAATGAAAAAATAAACCTTCTGAGTGCAAAACTTTGAAAGAAACACATCGGAAAGTACTACTTTTTTTGGCTACCGTAAGGAGGGGGAGGGGGTAGGGTGGGCAAGGTTGCCCCCTCCTTCTCAAATTCAAGTATACTTACAGGGGTAATAATGCTCCTTCAATTTAACTTCCTCAAATCCTGAAAAAAGATATAAAAATGTGTTTACAATGAAAGACTCATAGATTTGAAGGGACTGGGGAGAGGAAAGGGATGTTTAGGGGGGCTGGGAGGGCAGCCAATGGGTGAAACAAAAAATTTGGGACCTTGGGTATAGAAGTCAAAGTATGAAAATCATAAAATTCATCCAAAAATAGAGAAAAAAGAATTGTAGCCATCAAATTACCATATATTCTCAATACGGGCCTTGCAGGCCCAGGTTAGTCTTTCTAGGGGTAGACATGAAAAAAAATTTAAAAATTTTTTTTTTCAAGAATAATGTTTTTAAGGATATTTGTAGAGCTATTTGTGAAGGACAGACTCCTAGGTCAATTACAGCCGCCGTGGCGCGAAAAATAAAAAGCCGCCGGGCCTGAGAGACCCGGTTAGTCATCTAAGGGTTGATATTATCAGAAGGAAAAATACGTGCCATGTATTGTTTTTGGATCGGATGGAACACATCAAGGGAGTATCGCGGCCCATTTTCCGAAGTTGCCCTGAGTGGATCACCTTAGCGCATGATGCCTAGCGCGGCAATGAATCCGCTCCGTTGTGACCCCCTCAACTCCCCCCCCCCCCCCCCNACTCCCCCCCCCTCCCCATGGGTCACGTGTGTGATTTTCTCATTCAAAATAGGCCTCTAGGTACCTCCATCAGTGAGAGTCAAGTTTTTTTCATTTTTGTGCATTTTAAAATCGAAAAACAAAATACCGCGGATCGGCCCATTTTGGCCCCATTTAAATTAATGTAATTTTTTTTTTTTTTTTTTTTGAGATTTTCGGCCTCACGGTGGCACGTGTTAATATTGTAAGAGAACAAGAATATTTGGCGGCTATCATATTTGGATGGTAAGGAACAAATTTAAGGGGTGTCTCGGTTCATTGGGCGACAAAAAAAAATCCCATTTTAACTTGGACCACCCTAGCCTATCGTCTCTGGATGTTATACCGTTGTGCGGCTAATCGGAGGATGGGTAATGGGAACTCCCCCCCCCCCNCCCCCATCCAATGACGATGGCTTTAAGAGGGAGTAAAAGCTAATACAAACGACCCCCGAGTGACAAAAGTATGATTTTAGTGTAATTGGAACCCCGGCCGCAAATGTTTAACTACCCAGCACTTGATTTGTCAGGCCCGGGCGGAAGAGCTTCGATATATCGTATTTCTGTAGATCGACCGTGAGTCAAAAATGATCGACGTTTGTCATTCCTAATGTAAAATTCAACGTTTTTTCAGGATCTGCCATTAACTTTTACACCAGAGCAGCCGTTTCCAAGAAAAATGGGCATTTTCGGGAAAAAACTGAAATTTTCGTAAATGCCCGTTTTTTCGGCGGTCATTTTGAGGGGTTCAAAGTCGTTTTACAAAAAAATTATACAGTCATTTATTTACGAAAAACCGAGGAAAGGTCGATTTTTAGGGGTTTTTTGTTGGGGGGGGGGGAGGTCAAGCGTACAAGGGATTCTTGGGGACTTTTTGCTGGGAGTCTCTGACACAGTCTCTGACAATGAACAACTTGGGCACATAAAACCTTATTATATATAATTTTTTTTTTTTACAATCGTCGATTTTTTATCTAATATGCCTGGACTACCTCCACTGTCTCTGAGGGTTATCGTCGTTCCTCTTTTCACTTACATACCTCTTTTTTCGAAAGTTTACTAGTTTCATTTTAGACCATGGTGGAATTAGTGTTTCTGTCGTTCTGTCCTCTACAAAAGCATCAAGGTTCTGTCATGATTATTGGTTTAAACAGTGCGTGTTGATTTTTCATGGGCAAAATCTTTCCCTTTGTTCTAGGAGTTCCTATACTCCCTTCTTGAACTCTGATTAAGCCTTAATGGCAATGATTAAAAGGAGAGGACGGTCAAAAGTTCCTTTGCTTTACTTAAATAAGAGATTATACACTAGAACGTAGATAAGTAAAACTTACAAACTATTTGTCAACCAATCCATGTTTACATCATTTGAATACGTCTGCGATATCTGCATCTTATTAATGTGAGTAAATGTTAAAGTTACCAAAAACTCATTTCCTCCTGTTCTTTACAGATAGGAATAATAAATCCTACCCTGATTGATGGCCTTAGCGATCATATTGCTTACCATCTTGTATCAAAACCATTATTTTTACATGTGTTCAATTTATTCGGGTATTACGTGTCACTTGCTGATCAAAGGCTGGCACATCGTGAGTTATACCGCCCCTCCACTCTCTCCCTCACCCCTCTCTGCCATCAATTCCGGCTTTTTTAGGCTGTCCAACGATACGAGCGGCCTTCCTGCTTTCCGGCTATACTCTCCGCCGTTGCACGGTGCGCGGGGAGCGGCCTCCCATGCTTCCTGCTTATTTGCTGCCGGTTACGCGATGTGCACAGCCTCCTTTATCTCCGGTCTATTCCGAGAACTTTGCTGATTTTCCCACTGAAATATTTCGATGTCTAATTTTGCATATGATACTAATTTTCTTTCAAATGTTGTAAACGACGCACAATAAGCCTGATCTCTTCTAATGAATTTGTGTGTAGTTTGCTTTTTTAGTCAACTTTTGTTGACTTCCATACATCGACGGTGTAAGTCAGCAATCACATCACTCGTTTGCGGTGTCTGAAAATCTCCGCCTTTATGTTATTATTTTAAAAGAGAACAAAGTGATATCATTCCTTGAAATATTTGCAGAATTTTCATCGCACAGTGAAGAAAATTCACGGCAGTTTTAAATAATTTCCATTGAGTAGTTTTCAGTATAAAAAATAAAGTAAGTATGGAAGGAAGTCTGCGATGTCACAAATTGAGTTATGTGATTGCCGACTTACACCGTCGAAATGTTTCTTGAAGCTGTCCATGTCATTTCCACTTTTCGAAAACTTTTCCGCGTTTTTTTAAATATTTTCCTCAGGTCAAGGTTCATGGCAAATAATTTACATCCCTCCACTTACATTGTCGACACGCGAAGCGTGTCTATCCGTACTTCACAAAGCTAGGAACAGGGGGTCCAGGGGACGGTAGCCCTGTGGCTGGCTGTGGCGACTCGCTGTGGAGAGCCCGGAACATCTAGTAATACTATAAAAAGGATTATTCACCTTGTAATCCATTTGTTCTGAGCAATTGAAAACGTACACCATAATGCCTATAGCTTTGCCTAAATCTTTGGTGGTTTCTGTTTTGCCTGTACCAGCAGGGCCAGCAGGAGCTCCGCCCATAATTAAATGTAACGACTGAAACAATTGGATGATATAAAAAAAATTATTACATTTTAGTTAACTAAATTTTTACAAAAGTGAGTGATTAAGACCGGCGGACTCTTAAACAGCGCACCTGACCCAAGTAGCATTTTTCAACGGAAAAATCGCGATATTTCGAAATTAAATTGCGATTTTTTCTTACGATTTTATCGGTGATAAAATCGCTAGGATTATCAACATCTGAGCGATTATCCTCGATCTTTTTGCGATTTTAGCGCCCGAAAAAATTGCGATTTTATCACGATAAGATCGAGTATAATCGCTCAGATGTTGATGATCCTAGCGATTTAATCACCGATAAAATTGCCAAACAAATGGGGTTTGCGATGTATCTCGCCGCGAGCAATGTGGCCTGCAAGGCGAACTCACGCGTCTTCAGCCGAGTTACGTCAGGTTCAGCCGTCAGGTCCTTTGACGAAGACGAGCATAAGATCCCCGGAGCCTCCGCGGATATTCGAACCCGAGTCGCATTGGTGGTAGGCCAGCGCCTAGATGGATCGGCGCTTCGCAACCTCATAATTTTTGTCATTGCGTAGACCGACACCTAGTTTTCATTGGACTTTTTTTTTATTTTCCCTCCTCTGTATTTTATTTCATACCTTGAAATGCGGTTGGTAAAATGGGTCTATTTGTAATCTCATCATTCTGTCTCGGTAAAATTACCAATAATAGTGAGATAACAAAGTTACCGACGGACCTTGGTAAAAGCGCCAATGAAAACCCTGATAATCTATAGACAGTTTCCATGTTACACGCTGAAAACTGTATTTTAAGACAAAAATTACCATGTACATTTCATATTTTTGCATGATTTCATAAGTTTTATTGCAAAGGATGAAGTTGCACAATCTTAGCAACAATGCAATGCTCCTGGGTCTTTTTTGCAAAATGAAATCCATTTACTGTTTATCTTTACCAATGTAAAGTGAGCTGGTCACATTTCTCATGAAACATAATGCCATAGTTATAGAAATAGCTTCCATAAAAACAAAAAAACATTGATGTCTACCTGCTTTGCCCAACACTGTCCTTATGAGACGGTATCAAGCGTTTGCAATGTTATTACTGAAAAACTACAAAAAACCCCAAAAAACTTTCAGATTCTAAGGGGTAAAGAATCCGGCCAAAGTCTTAAACTTTTTGAACCAAATTTTCTTATTACTCCTAAAAGAAAATTAAAAATTATACTTTACTGAAAATCGAATGTGGGGCCCCTTCATTTATGAGTGATGCAACGGTCATGACGTGTAAGTATGTTTAGCCCTTGCAGGAGCCCCCTATTCCTCATCTATTTGCATTTTTATCGAAAGTAAAAAAGAATAGTCGGTATGGATTGATCTGAGCCTTCTATGTGCTCCAAAACAATATGAAAAAGTTGGATTTTGCAATCGCTAGCGATAGCAATATTCGTCATGGGAACTTTAGCTTCTGGGATGTGAAAATGTTAAGGTACAGTTCGTTTGTAGTATCTTCTGAATTGAAGGGGCTATGTAATTTTGTGTTGACATCTATTTTTTAACATTTTTAATTTTTTTCTTTGCATACAAGAAAGCTGTTATGTACCAATTATTTATTTTCGTTGGATTATAAATGGTTTTCGGAAGTTAACGCATTTAAGTTTCAGGTTCGCTTTTTCGGCGTAAAGTATGATATTTTTACTCTACACATATGCCCGAATACGCATCATATAAGTGACCTATGTGCTTCCTAAGTTGCCAAGTATTAATTATTGTTTGATGGTTGGTCTAAAACATTCAATACAACCAGTAAAAATTAACGGTCCCTTACGAGATTCGAACCCCCGCTCGCACAAAAAGGGACCCGTATCTTGCGCAAGAGTGGAGTCGCAGACAACTGAGCCATCTCGACTGTCATCGAGGTCCGGAGGAAAGAGAACAATTAAGTGATCTCGGACGCTGAGCGGGGCTTCACAAAAGATGGCCTTGACATCCGGCCACTGCCGTGATAAGAGACAACGGATCAAGCGCATTTCTCTGTGAGACATTGTATGCCTATGCTCTCATGTGTCACAAGGTTCATCTCAGCATGCATTTGCTATCGCGGCAGTAAGCTGAGGCAATATTTCTGTATTCATGGATTAAATCCATCAATCGAGTTCTGATTTTGGCTCATATATCCGTAACGGGTCCTCCAGAGCAATTTTCCACCTTGTACGATGGTTCTTATTTCATTATTTCTATTTTTAACATTTTAGGTGGGATATTGGCGGCTCCTCAAGAGCAACGAGGTAGGCAATCTTTTGCACCAACGAACAGAAAACTTATGGCGAAAAATAACCAATCGGAACCTCCCAAAAAAAAGAATTTGCCTATATTCGTTTTTCGGTGGTTCTGCGCAGATTTACCAGTCAGACACGACATCTCAAGGCGAAAAAAAAAACTCGCGGAAAGCGAATTTTAGAATTCTACACAACTTAACGTAGAGACATGATTGGCTAAAAAACACAACGATTTTTGATACATCCGAAAATTAACCAAAGATCGAAGGGGAGGCGATTCGCTCAAGGTCGCAGAGACATAGGGAATCACATAGCAGTAGCAACGGAACGATTGTAAAGACAGGGGAACTCCGTTCCCATGCCAATATTTTATCGTAAAAAGTCCAATATTTTTCGATTCAGGCCCTACAAATGCTTTTAAAAGATCATGAAAAAAAATACTCAATCGGCTGCGGCTAAAGTCCAGTATTTTTCTTGAGAATAGTCTCCTCCTTCAATGAGTGATGCAACAATTGCGACATTTTTGTATGAAAAGCCCTTGCAGAGGCCTTTTTATTTGACTCAGCTAAATTTTGAAGAATCACTGACGTGTCCGCAAAAATGCTCTTACTGTAATCATTAGTATTTGTCCCCTCTGCTTGCTGGAAGATTGCTTGCAGCGTATTTTTCGAGCGTATCATTCTTCCTTTGCTTTCTCCCAAAACTTATTTATTGTATAATATTTTTAATCTCAACTTATGTTGCTGCAGTTTAATATGCATGTAAATGGAAGCTGGGTGAATTCAAATAAGGGTCAAATTCTAGGTTCAATTTCCTCCCGAAATTTTTTTGTGAATTTTTGGGCAAACCAAACTTTATTTTGACTCTTCTTAGGTGTAGCCTTAGGAAATATAGCTCGTCGAGCTTAATAGTTATGCTCAAGCCCGAATTTCCACCGTCATGTGTATCACTTCCCAAAATTTGCTCTAATTTTGCCTGATTTCCCAAATTTTCATCTCAGAGGTGACATACAATACTTTTAATTGAAAATTGAACGCAATTGTCATAAAAGCATCGTCGAGCACTAAATTAAAGCGTAATTGAAAACATGTAACCCTTTCATATCTTACAGAACCAAAAAAATTCATCCGTCATGAAAGATATCTGGAGCTTATTCTGCTTATCTTTTAGACAGTTCCGTCTGTTTATCAAAATGCCTACTGTTTTCCTTTAACACGAGAAGAAGCTTTTATTTCTTGGAATATTGCAGAACAAAATTGATCAAAAATATCGAATTTTAAAACTTCAAGTGGGCGTGTGTTTCGGAGTAGATTTTTGACGCTGATTCCGAAGATCACCTCCATTTACCTGTATCAGTGCGACTCCAGCACAGTCAATCTTCCGGAAGAATCTGTGCACGATGGAAAAAACCTAGGAATTTTTCGATTTCGTAGCTGAAGATACATAACAAACCATGTATTGTACCCCTATTATTTCCTTTCTTTTCCAAATGCCAAGGTTTTTCGATCCAGTTTCATTAAAATCAATTAATTAGTTACTGAGATAGAATTTTAGGCAACGTCCGCCATCTTGGATTTTCGAATTTTGCAAATTCGACTAAAAATTCGAATTTTCCATTCAAAAATACCCCCGGGTACCAAGTTTCACTTTACTCGATTGATTAGGCGCTGAGATAGCATTTTAGGTCATGTCCGCCATCTTGGATTTTCGAATTTTGAAAATTCGACTTTAAATTCAAGTTTCCCATTGAAAAATACCCCCGTGTATCAAGTTTCACTTAAATCGGTCGAAAAGAGCGCCTACAGGGCTTAAACAAACAAGCCTCAGTTGATTAGGCGCTGCGATAGCATTTTAAGCAATGTCCGCCATCTTGGATTTTCGAATTTTCAAAATTCGACTAAAAATTCGAGTTCCCCATTGAAAAATACCCCCGGTAAATGAGTTTCACTTAAATCGGTAGGAGAGAGCGCCTACAGGGCTTAAATAAGCAAGTCTCAGTTGTAACAGTTTTCCACTCTGTCCCACTAAACTGGGACACGGGACAGGATGGAAACATATGGGACAGGATGGAACGGGACAAGATGGAACGGGACAGGATGGAATAAGCTGTTTTTTAAGCTTATCTCTAACAGTAAAGACAATTTTGGTGTTTTTTTTCACGGAATATTTAGTAGCACGTCCTAGAGGATCGGAATAAGAGAAAATTTTCCCTAACACACACTTCGAAAGTATTTTACGAGCTGATATTAGTGTGTGTGTGTGTATGCTTGACGCCCTGTTAGTTACCGTGTATAGCATTCTGTTTGGCATCATTAATGGCGTTAATCTTGCACAAAAATTTGCGAATTTCAGAATTTTTGCCATCTACGACGTGTGAACTATTCAATCAAAACAAAAAAAGTCGTTTTTGGAAAAACCTCAACGTTACGGCAATCATTTAGAGCTTATTACATCGTTGCCATGTCTCTCCTGACTGTTGCTAACTGTTGCTCGGGACAATGATTCTAGCGCGTGAAAAAGTTATTGATGGAGCAAAAAATAAATTGACATATTTTTTTTCTCAAATTCAAAAGCATTACCTATCATCTCCGATAAAGTTTTCTTAAATAATCACTCTGGTTATGCTGCAACATCGATTTAAAGTCAAGAACCAGGCACGGGGGATATTCAAATTTGGGACAAATGTAGGCAATTTGCACATTCAAAGTTCTCCTAAATTTTTATTTCAGTCCAA